GGGGACCACGACACATCGACAGCTGGGGGGCTGATAGTCTCATACACCCTCAATGTGTTTGAGCGTACCATGTGTCTTTAAGTCAGGAATACACCTTTCTTGGAGCTCCCCCGACTTTTCTGTACCAATGAGAATGACCGGATTGCGGTGAACTCAGCAGTGGGCTCTCCATTTAGACACAGGTACAAGGTATGTTGGTATGTTGGCTCCATGGTACTAGTAAAGGAACCAACTCACCAGACAGTCAGTACTGGCAAAGATATTCACATGCAAACAGTCCTCATCCACCCATTTCTGTGGACTTTTGGTTGTTGAAGAATTCGACATACAAGCTGGCCCGTACTCTGAAAAATCACGTAGAAGATCCTCACAATGATGGTCTATACGAAAAAAATTTCGCTAACGCTAACCGGTTGCATCCCACACACCCTTCCATTTCAAGGGCGGTTGCGGTTTCTGGAAACGTAGTTCTCCAACAGGTGGTGCAGCGTATGGAATTCGCTGAAAGTGTTTCCCATCGTAGGATCTTCCTTCTTGTCAGATCGTCTCCGTGAAATTATATCGCCATTGCAGCGGAACTACATATTTGCGCGCCGGGCATACAGTTGTTGTCACCGAAGTCACACGGGGCGTGTCAGGTCGGCGTGAGTTTTGGCACGGCGCCAAATCCTTTCCAACCACTCACTGAAGACCCGAAGTCGCAACGATCAATATAAAGGGACTGGCTCTACGCCGAACCCGCGCCTCGCCGATTCGCCCGACTGACTGTCTTCATTGATAACAACAGTACAAGGTTGGTATAGTTGTAGTTTCTCACCTAAGGAAAAAATTCGGAAGGAAATTATGTAAGGAATTGAACTGATTTTCATAACAAAGACAGCGACAATATCAAACAAAAGCAATTAATGCCTATCTATCGATCGGCCTATATTTGCGCCATGCACACTACATTCGGGTCTGCGAATTTGTCAGTTGAAGGAAACTGGGCGGGTGAGCCACTCTGGCTATCTAGATTTTTCGTAGGAGATGATGAGCTTGCCCACCCCGCTTTTCCGCTCTCTGAAATTCACAGGATGTTCAGCGCTGATGCAAAATTGCAAGGTGATCTCCCAAGGCCAATATGCTGCCTAAGCAGTACTTGATCCCTATTACGGTAGCTCTTAAATGGCAGGTATCCGCACTGAATTCAGAGCAAAATTTCGGTACTCACCTTGAAAATGTTCACAAGCTTTCCTGAGGTAGATATTGATTGATAACCAGCAAGTGTACCCGTACTGATTTCCACAACAACGTCATTTGCCGTAGTAGATGGAAGCGTTATGGTAAGCAAGATGGCTAATAGAAGCCACATTATCAGTTGTTAGCCACTAATACCCGCTTAGGACGAGATCCTCCTGAAATGTTCTGCATAACCCATTCAGGAAAAATTTCGGCTACTTTTCCTCAGCGGCCAAGGACGACCCCTGTAGTGTTTCAGAAAACGATCATGTGCCTGGTGTTCACCGCCACTGGTGAGATATTCCCCCTTTGTGCACTGGGGATTTACCAAGCTGCCCAGTTGGGGTCTTTGCATCCACACCTGACCATTTCCCCCTCGTGGGCAACTCGGTGTTCGTCGCCAGTAACGCATATGATCTTGACCGACGAAAATCGACTGAGACCTACTACACCTACAGAACTCATCAAAATTATACCTCCTCAATCCTTGAATGAAAATAGCAGTTGAAGAGTCAAAGCCGTAAAATTACCATAAATATGCTTTCTAGAAAATTGACTTATTGCTGGTAGGTGCATCCAGTTACCAATGCAGGCGGAGCAAAGGTTGTTGTAGGTGGAAAACAAGACAGGGAACGCTGTCGCGCTGGGCCACCCTGATAAGGAGACCTGTGATCATCTCAACTCACAAAGAACAACCGGCGTGATTTCTTGGAAAAAAATCATATGATAACGCAGAAAATCCATGGGAGGAGAAGAACGTACATAATATTACTTTCTATTCTCGGAATTCCCATTTCCGCAGAACCCGCAGTTTCCTCGAAATTGCCACTCTTTCCGAAAGACCTGAGAGAGTGGGACTAACAAAAGCAATCAGCTCCTATCTGGTCTTTGTTGTCAATTTTGGCATTTCTGGCGATTCCACATGTATCCCAATTCAGCAGTTTCGTGATCTATTCAACGTCTACGTTTATAAGGAGGCATGTAAGCAGTAAATACCTTCTGTCATTCCTATATTCCTTTTTCTTTTTCTCCTATAACTCTTTTTTCTCATTTTTTCTTTATTACATCTTACCTTTCTTAGCGTACGGTCCCGGCGATGCAGGTACAGAAGTTGAAAATATGGTGTCAGGAGGGGTAGTGTGGTCCGCACGACGGACAACGTTGTAGCGCGGTTTTCGGTGCACCAAAAAATTGTAAGGGAAGGGCGCTAATAAGCGCTAAATAGGTTCAGTGACGCCTCCTTTTTTCCAGTGACTCCGCCTCCAGACTCCGCCCCCAAGGCCCGCCTTTCAGTGAAAAACGAAGCTGCAGGACGAAAAAGCATTCAGTCGTCAGCTTGTACGGTCACGAAACTCTTATCGGCGAGGTGTGTGGATGAGGGCGTAATGTTGAAGATGGAGTTGATTGGGCACGTACAAGCAGGAATCGGAGTGGGGTTCTATTTAGGGCAGTTGGCATGTTTTTTTTTTGTCAAGAACTATCGAATTGCTTAGATAAACCTATTCGTCCTATAATGCAAACCAATGACAGCAATTTACAATGCGAATGAAATCGCGTGTTTGCGCCTTGAATGCATTTTTACCATTTTGTTTATGTTCAACACAACTTCCCTTTCTGTTCAAATATGAAGAATGAATTCACTCAAATGTATTGCTAGCATTTCCGTGGCTCATGGGATAGAGTCTTCCACAGACCAAATGAACCTTCTGTTTTTGTGCTTTGTCACGAATCTCTTCCTAGTACCCGAGAACTCACATAGGAACCTTATCTAGATCTTGTGTGCAGTCGTGCCAGAGCAGCGCCCTTCATGTTTCCAGTACGGAGACCGGCCCCGATTCGAAGAATAAGGTATCAGCGTTGGCTGATCCATTATTTGCTGAGCCACACATTATATGTATGTACTCCCATCCAGAGTCGCAGTGCTTTTCTGGAACGCGTATAACGACTCAACGGACCAGCGGCGATGCCCCACTTCGGTGTTCTTCCAGCCAAGTTCAGCAGCACTGACCGTCTATGAGACTCGTCCTTTAAGCAGTTAGGGCACGATGTTTCCTACTCGCGCTAAAATGCTATTAGAGGGCGCTATATAGTGGGGAAAAGAACGGAGTGAAAGCGGTCAAAATCCTGCGAAGAAAGAGCCTCCGTTCTCACTGTGTTAGTAATCAATTTTGGACGAGTTTTCCGTAGGCATCTTGCCAACACCGCTACCGAAGGTACGGCTGCATATTTTTGTACCCCATGAGTAATGCATGCAGCAATCACCGGAACCGCTTCATATCCGATCTCTTTGGCTTCATATTTAATTTGGCTTAGCAAATGAATCGATTAGAATTCGATTAGAGCGTCAGGAACGGTCGTCCATTTGTGGGCGGGCGGGCGTGGCGGGCGTTTGGGTCGGTATGTTGTGGCTTGATAGGGCCCTTATAAGGGCACCTCCCTTGGAAAAGGCATTATGCAGCGCCTGCTCAGGGTCGCGGAATTCCGTCCTGCCAGGCGTATTAATCCTACTCGTCTTGGGGATTTATCGTGCCAACTGCCTTTCAATTGTAAGGACAATAGAAGATGGTCTGCTGGACTACTGGCTTTCTTCCACCATAAGGAAAGCTCTTATAACTCAAAGATTAGAACTCAAAGAAAGTCCTTGGGACTGAAACCTCAGCTCAAAATGGCCTCTGTTTCTCCCTAGAAAAACTTGCTCGTTAGCCATCAATGAGCAGGACAAATTTGTGACATAGGTAGGTTAGGTACTGAGGGTCGTGCCAAAAACTTCTTTAGCTCGTTCTCTCCTCTGAGCTGATTTCCAGAAATATTTTCATCTCTGAAACTTACATTCTCGTGGAAACCAAAACAATCCGGCGCACATGAGGCGGCTGCGGCCTACCGCAGCATGCACCCAATGCTCCTGAGGCGTTTTACTGCTATATGCCTCTATACAAATGGTTTTTGGGGTTCGTTATAGTATCAGTGATAGGGTTACTCAAAGGCAAACAGCACACTACCTCCGATGACGCTCCTTGCCGTCTGGGAGTTGCAAGTTAGAGGGTGGTCTGGGCCGTGATCAATCAACCCAACATCTTTGTGATGTATCAGTAGCCATTTCTTCTTTCAGATCGTTGTTCGCAAAGCATAAAATGTGTCGCTATTCGAGGTGGTATCAAGAGAGCTGCGATAAGGAGGGGAACCATGCTTTTTCGTGGACAACACTTACGGCC